GAAAAGACAAGGAAGGATCTTCCCTAGACCTCAGCGGGGGCACGGCCCTCCAGACACCTTGATTTCAGACTTCTGGCCTCCACAACTGAGAGAAGAGAATTCCGTTGTTTTAAGTTACCCAGTTTGTGGTTGGTTGTTACAGCAGCTCTAGGAAGCTAATACAGGGCTCTTTAGATTCTCGAAGAAGCTGAGACCAAACTTGACCCAAAGACTCTCTGTTCAGCTCACCTTTCCCAGGAAGCCTTCATACAGTGATGGGAACGCTGACCTTTCCTTACATATCAGGTTTCAACTTATGACTAAGTTCTTCATAACTAAACAGGAGACTGTGTGGAGACTCATGCATAGGTTGCAAAACTACCAAAAAAGCCAGGAAATGATCAGGAGAGACTGCAGAGTGGTCAGCGCCTGAGCAGAGCAGGAGGGAGATGCAGCTGAGAAAGCACGTCCAGGTCACTCCACCACTAGTCATGTTTCTGTGTGATCAGTACATGGGTACTCATGTTGGTATTCCTTAAAATGGACCTTTTAATATATTCCTGTGTGTATGTTACATTTCACAATAAAATACACATGTAAAAAAATAGTGACATATGAAGATTACTTGGGAATCGAAAGCCACTGGAAGCAGCATGGCAAACTGTGCTTCCTCCAACACTTACCAGTTCTTACAAGCCTTCCTCTTTTTCCCTTCCCCACATGAAGCAGCCCGCAGGGAAGCAGGATCTGGCTTCTTCAAATCTTCTGCGTCCAGCAGCTCATCTGAGTCAATGAGATCCTGGAGAGGGTTCAAAGCAATCAGTGACACAGTCAATCTCTGCTAATGAAAAGCTAAAGTGACTGCAGGCGGTGATGGCAGACTTCACCAGTGGGGTGGGAAGACTGGACTGTGTAAGTCCAGTGCGACTGGGTTAATTGCCATGGTCAACCTGACCACCATGCTCAAGACACCAATGGTGAGCTAAACTAAGTCCACAAAAGATACATTAGAATGAAACTAACTTACACGAGAAATAGTTCTAAGACCTGACCAGCAGTGTGTAGAGAATACGCATATGTGTGCGTGTTGGTGGGGGCAGGAGAACAGGAAGGAAAAAAGAAAGGTTATATTTATTTAAACACATAAAAGCTGTCATGTGAAAAAACAAGTATTTTCTATGAAGTTCCAGAGAAAAGGGTAAATAATTATGTATACACCTGTGTCATGTTTTGATAAGCATGTGGACATGCTTTTGATAGGCATGTGCACACAAGGGCATGACCTACTTTGCTGACCCCTCCGCCCTGAACAGTTGTACAAATGAGGAACCCAAATAAAGATGGAGAGTGCAGCTCTACGATAGCGAGCCATCAGGGACTTGGGCAGACCACGGGGCCAATAAAAATACTTTAGCTGGCAAAGTCTCTTTTGTGTTTACACATGCCCACAACTATCTTTAATCTCTCACATGAAGCAAGAACAACAAAGTCTTCAGGGAAAGAGATACTAAAAAGAAATGTACAATGCCGCCAACGCAGGGTTTCCATCTAAATAAAAGTAATACGCACAGACAGGACATTGGGCTTTAAATACTTTCACACTTACAAGCTCAGAGAGCCCACTCCGAAGTGCAGCTCTCACACTCAAAATGGGGCCTGGAAGAAATGCCCTGATGCCAACTCACCATGCTGTCATCCTCCATATCGTTGGCAGAGAGAGTCCAGAGCTTGGCAGCAGCAGGGTCCACGGCAGGCTTCACTGAGTCCAGCCCATGAAAAGAAAAAGCTCGTAAACCAGCCAGATACAAACCACAAGTGCTTTCTACTGAGAAATGACGTGGCAGAGAACACACTGGCTTACAAGTCCGGGGCCTGGGTTCAAGGCCCGGCTCTACCACTCACAAGAGGTAGCACCTTGGGCTAATCGTTAATGATAGTAAAGAAGCCGTCATTTGTTAAGCACGGGTACTATCAAATTTAATCCTGCTAGCAACATTGTGAGGTAAGTACTTTTTAGCATCTTAATTTTACAGATAAAGAATCAGGTTCAGAGTGTTTAAATAACTGGCACAAATAAAAGCCTGAGTCCAAAGTAATGCTTTTAACATCCAGTCCACATTGCTTCCTCCTCATCTTAGTGTCCATCCCTGTAATACAGGCCTAACCTCCACAGGTGCTGTGAGGACTAGACGAGAAAGTAGGTCAAAAGCCTTCAACAATAGCAGAGCCTTTCATAAAGCTGTTACAGACAAGGAGATGGGCTCTGAAGGTGATAGGGACAATGGGACACACACCTCACGCAGGCCAGGAGAAGTCTGGGACAGATCCTCAACAGAACTTTTGGAAGAAGGGAACTCCCAATGACAAGGCCAGCTATGAGCACCGTCATGAGTCCTGTCTGTGGATGTACGACCTTCCACAGAGCACACTACTTATCCCTGCGGTTCCTGCCCAAGGTGAGGATCCCCAAGATTTAGGCTGGATGGTCGAGACAGCGCAGTGTAAAGGCACTAGGAAGGATCTGTAACCTTCCACACTGCACAGCTGGGACAACTTTCTCAACTCGAGCACCGAAATAGCTCCAGGTGGCTGGAGGGGGGGGACCCTGCAATTTCTGAGGCAGAGGAAACAACAGTTCACCGGTGTCCTAGGCTTTAAAGTGAGAAAAGCTGCCTGACTTAGGACAAGGACACACGGGAACATGACACCTTCCCTACCATTACCACACCTGTGAGGTCGTCTGAGGATAAATGACGTCCTTCTAGGGCCTGGAGCCTTCATTAACTAAACTAAGTGATCCTCTAGAGCCAGGCAGCCCGTCTCCTCTGTACAGAGGAAAGGCTGATCTAGGTAAGAACTGCACCACCTTGTGTGGGATCCAAATGTGCCCAGGGTAACAGTACCATCAGCATTCTTCCACTTAGAAATGAGAGGAATTAAGGAAAAGATGAATCCTGTGAAGATCCTGCCACCTTGTTTGTGTCTCTGGCTCAATTTCGACTATGTCCCTCCAAGTCCATTTAAACAGATGCATGTCCCTGTGGCAGCCTTACCTGAAGGAGGCTTCTTGACAGTGGAAAGCTTAAGCTGACTAGAAGAACCCACTTCAAAGTTTGGTTTTCTGCCTGTGACCTGAACAGAGAGCAGGCCATCACTTTGGTAACCCAGGTGTTCTTGAACAGACTGTGTCTCCTCAGGGCTTAAGGATTTCCGCTGCAGCTGGAATTCCAGATGGAAAGGATTAGTCCATGCTCCTCCTCTAACATCCTGTTTTACTGGGTTCATGTCAAATCCTCATTTCTATGTATCAGGCATGTAATAGCTGAAGGTAATAGATCTCACTTCAGGCCCCACATTCAATTTCTCACTGATCAGAACCCTAGAGCACAACGCTGTCCATATGTTTACCTTGAGCCTACCCTTCAGAACGTTTTAAAGTACTTATCAAAGATCTGTTGGGGGCAAGTCATTGTGGGAGTTGTACTGATTACGATCCTAAGAAGATGAATCAGACGCGGTCCTACTGAGTGGACCAACACCCACAGTGGGCCCGCGGCCCCAATGAAGACAGTGGGAATTTAGGAAGGGAGAGAGAGCTGCAGGCACAGGGACGTGCTTTCTAGGTACCCTGGGAAGAAGGAACAGACAGTGGAGGCAGAAACAAAGGTGGTGGTGGGGAGCAGTGCCACCTCTATGTCCAAAAGTGGTTCAATAAATCACAGGCCATCCAGACCACGAAGCACTGTTACACCATTAGTAAGATGGGAGGGGAATCCAGTGAGGGGGTGGATGTCTGAGATATTCAAGAATGGGAAAAAAAGCCAGTGACAGAACAACACGTACATATGTTTTAAAAAAGAAGGACGTTTACGTGATTACACGTACGCTTATAAATACATTGAAAGAGGTCTGCATGGATAATCAAAAATGTATGGATGGCTTCCTGTGGGAAGGGAAGTGTGAACCAGGACCAAGATGGCACCTTATATTCTTCAGTATTAACTGAATTTGTATGAGCATTCCCTATTTTAGAATAAAAAAGAGAAAACCTTGAAATAAAAGGGAAAAAAAAATAAAGGGGAAACATAGAAATTAGAGTCCTAGGTCATATAGCAGATCATTGACACAGTGAGGAAAGGAAACCACTGTCACAGTACACCACTTCTCTCACACACATAAGAACATCTTAACACTGGGGAAGAATACAGAAATACAAGGATCTCTTCGATTCAAATACTCCACTGAGTTGTCAGAAATGGGATGTCCCCTTCCAGCCTCCCACTGACGATCAGGACGACTGATGATCCAGATGCCTCCCTAAGATTTATACCCATTAAGATCTGTGTCTGACGCTGCTCTCCCAGTCTCAGCGGCCACCACCCGCACCCAGCTCTGAGGACACCAGAATGTGCTCCGACCCACATGGGCCCGAGCTGAGTCTCTTCAAAAGACACCAGTTTCCAGAGGGGGTGGTTCTTTGAGGCATCACTGTATCTCACTCGGGTAGCATTTCTCAAATTTGTTTCGTATTTGTAGGCAACAATGATCACACATCATCTTCAGGCCTGTTATTTCCTCAACTCCCTCCATACAGTTCTGATAAAGAACTAACTAAACTAAACTGATAAAGAACTAAACTGTGTTTAGTTCCCCAAAGTTTAAATTCCTAGCCAAGAAGTGTGCCTATAAACATACCTCTTTTACTTCCACAAGTCCAGAAAGAGTCAGAGCTGAACAGAGTTTAGATGCTGTCTTTACTCTGCCATTGTTAACTGCCAAGAGGAAAACTCTAATTAATAGTTTTATAGGTCAAAACAGGAAAAATAAGCTCTCTGTTGTGCCTGGGTTAGCACGCATCAAAATGGTAATAAGCTACTCCATTTCAAGTATATGTATTTTAGTAATAGTATTTTACCTTGACCAATCCCTTTGGTTATTTAAAATGCTCTCAACTATATGCCATAATTCCATTATTATTGCTGCTTATCATTTTCTGCTTGTATGAAATATCTACACCCCCAGGGTTGTTAGATAATGAAAGAGGTTTCTAAACTGTAAAGTGCACAGAAATACTAGTATTATCTCTGTACAATTCTGACAAAGAGATACTGTGTTTAGTCACCTGAGGTCTAAATTCCTGGCAGAGAATGTTAATGAGTGTCTGCTGTACACATCCCAAGTTTCTATTTCCACACAAGGAATACCTTTATTCACTATACATTTCACAACCCCTTCATTTCTATTATCTTCCTTGATAAATGTTCTTTTTTGGTTAAAAGTCTAGTAAAAATGCTAAAAACGTTTTTTTCCTACACCAGTGAGCAAAAATGTTTTTTTCTTGGTTGTTATTATTAGTCTCATGTGAGTTAATAATTATCTCACCATTCCCAGACTTCCAGCCATTATTTAAAATAATTTTTTCATTTAATAATAATTACAGATTTGCAGGAAGCTGCAAAATGCAATGTTCGGCGAGGCCCCACATGCCCTCTGCCCAGTTCCTCTCCATGGGCTATAAGTACAGTGTGTGTAACTGTAGAACATTTAGCCCTAGTACAACATGAGGACTAGGAAACTGACACCGGTGTAGTCCACAGAGCTCATGCAGATTTCACTGTTTTAAGTGCACTCTCGTGTGCGTGTAGTTCTACACTATTTGGTCACACATGTACATCTGTATAAACACCACCACAATCAGGATAATGAAGTGTCCCATCACCACAAGGCTCCCTCATGCTGCCCCTTTAAAGCCACACACACAACTCCCCTCCCATTTCTAAGCCCCAGGAGCTCCAGTGGTATAGTGCCTAAGGCATTTGACTACTAACCAGAAGGCTGGTGGTTCAAACCCACCAGTCACTCCTGGGAAGGAAGACTGGGCAATCTACTTCTGTAGTAATACCGCCTCAGAAACCCAAGGAAGGGGTGCTATGAGTCAGATCAGACTCAATGGCAGTGAGTCTGGTTTTTTGGTTTGGCAACTACTATCTCTTCTTCAACACTAGAATTTTGTTATTTCAAGAATATCACATAATGGGATCATACAGCATGTAACCTTCTGAGATTGGTTTTCTCATTCAGTATAATTTTCTTGAGATCCATCCAAGTTGTTGCATGTAGCAAGAGTTTGTTCCTTTTTACTGGTGCATAGTTTTCTATGGTATGGATATACCACAAACTGCTTAATGCCAAAGGACCCAGCCATTTTTAGACAAACAGTTTCTATTTTACTATCTAACGGGTCAAGTAAAGATCACAATTTCTTCAGAGCTGTTGCCTCAGATTTGAACAATAATTTATCCCTAAAGAAAAGGCTCTGCTGTAGAAATACCCAAAAAAACTCAAAAAACCACCAAACCCACTGCCACTGAGTCGTTTCCAACTCGTAATGAGGCAGTATCTCTACGGAAGTAGATTGCCCAGTCTTCCTTCCGAGGAGCAGCTGGTGGGTTTGAACCACCAGCCTTCTGATTAGCAGTCCAATGTCTTAGGCCCTACACCACCAGAGCTCCCCTATAGAGATACAGATTTTCAAATCTCATTTCCTGCTCAGGGTGAAGATTTTCTTACCTAAAGCTGTCTCTACTGGCTCTTTCAGAAAAAGACATCCACCAGGCCGAAGGATCCGGGCCATCTCAGCCAAAATCTCAGCACTGTGCAGAGCGGCACTTCCCGGAACAACACCCGACAAAATAACATCGAAGCTGGATTCTTTGTGGGCAGCTGCAAAGCAGAAAGACTCAGTGATTACCTGAGCCCCAGAAGCAATTTCCCAGTCCCTCCCCAAACCCACAAAGGATACAAGCCTTGCCCTGGGAAAATGAACACCCATGTGTTCAGCCACACTGTTCTCCCACCATTGCAAGCCAGAGGCCAATGAAGCTGCTGCTCTGTCTTCCCTCAGGCCTACTAATGCCACAGCCACCAGCCACTCCTCGGAAGGAAGACTGAGCAATCTACTTCCATAGAGACACCGCCTCAGAAACTCAAGCAGGAGTCATCATGAGTTGGGATCAACTTGATGGCAGTGAGTTTGGTTTTTTTTTTTTGGTTATATGCTCAGGGAAAGCAAGTGAAAAAGGAAGCTGGATGAAAAGTAAGCTTTTTAAAAAAATGCAGAATAGCTAATAATAAATAAGAACTATATACGTATCATCAAGCACATTCCTCAGTCTACTACATCTCAAATGAAAAACAACAGGTTACTGGCCACTATTACCATGTGTCTAAGCCAGCCAAGAAATGCAGAAATGGAGCATTCCCATCAAAACGCCTCACTCCTGTCAAGATACAACGGGAGGTACTTACATTCCAGCAGTTGGCTGATGTTTTCCACAGCCACTCGGCCCTCACTGCCAGTCAAGGCTTGCAGCTTATCCACCAGACCTTTCAGAGCTTCTACCGGGGAAGATCTGTCCCACACCACCGCCACACACTGGCCAGCTGAGATCCCAAAATCCGCCATTCCTGCAGTGCTGATGGGCCTCGAAGCTACTGGCCAAAGGAGATTCAAGACTGAGCAGAGACAAACGTGCAATTCAATCCATGGGGTAGCATCAAATAAGATTAGAATTACGACCCAGGTTAGACCTCCCACCAACATTAGGAAATCTTCCTGTAGATGCTTTTCAGGCTGAATAAATGAACCCATTATCTCAAGGTTTCATGATCCCAACATTCCCCAAAAAAGGCAGAGAATCCTGAGCCTACAGAGTCAAGCAAAGGGGATGAAGAGTCCCCTAAGGAGAATGGAGGCAGAAATATTATTTCCTCTTTGATTTAGGAGATGACTAAGCTTGAATGGACTATAAAACAGTAAGACATTAATTAGGCAGAAATATGACTTAGCACAGAAGGCAAATAAATTGGCAGCCATAACTCCATCATACGCTTATTTCTTTAAAAAAAAAGAGATGGTATAGTTAAATCTGGCAAACTGAATACTTCTTTCATCAAAATAAATGTGAAAATTCAATTCTACTGAATCTGTAGTGATCAGTGGTAGGTACTATGCCTTAATCACTAACATTCACTATTAGCCAGATTGTTCAAAGTACTTTACAAACATTACCTCACTTGACCCTCACAACAGCTTTAAATGACGTATTCTTCCCATTTTATAGTCAGGAAATGGAAGCAGCTGACTTTGCTCAGGTCACACAATGGCAAGTGCTGAGAGCTGGGTGCAACTCCATCTGACTACAAAGCCCAGGCTGTGACCTATTGCGATTTCCCCTCTGGGTCAACTCTCTCTTCCACTTGATACTGAGGTGAATGTGCTCACAATGAAATGAGGTCAGGAGATAGCATTCTACTCAGTCCCTTCTTCTTTCTTAAACATTAATGCCACCAAGTTTCTGACCTAAAAGGGCTTGAATAAATAAAACAAAGACAGAAGTTGGAGTACAGGGGTCAGGCATGGATTAGTCTTGCTGAACTCTGTGACTTCTGCAGAGGTGGCCAACTCAGTGGTAATCATGCCACTACAGACACTCAGGAATGGAATTTAAACCGTGTTCAGTATACTCTTCCTTCTTTAAGTATGTTCACTTTCAAATGACTCTCTTCTCTTTGCCTATAAAACATGTCCAGGTTAGCTGGAATCACCCTTAAATGCTACAGGGCTCTGATCTTGTCACTCATTCTCTAATGGAGTTATTGAAGGGTTAATCTTCTAGAGCAGAGTCAAAACTCCTTAGCCTTCTGGATACAAGTCCTCCACAATCAGATCCCCCTGATCACACACTGAGTTCTAGCCTTGTTCTTTGAAAAACCTTTGCATTTTCACTCTATCATGCTTTTTATCTAGCTCCTTCCACACAGAACGCCAGTCTTTTATATCCTGATGCCACTGCAAGCACCAGGAAAACGATTCCAAGTGCTGTCAGAGAAGCAGCTTCCTTAGTCACTTAAGTTTGGTTTTTAAATCCCTAAAACACTCACAGTTAAGAACTGAACCATTCAGAAAACCAAAGATTCATGGAAACAATTAGTCCTGGTGACTGGTACACCATGCAACCCGCAGCCTATATGACTATGAGACCAGAAGAACTAGAAGGTGCCCGGCTACCACTGTCAACCACTTGGAAGGGATGTAGGAGAGCCTGGGTAGAGAGGGAGAACAATGTGGAACAAAACTCAAAATCATTTGGAAAAAAAAAAGGGACCAGGGTTGCTGGTGTGATAGAGCCTGGAGGAACCCCTGAGACTATGGCCCCTAGCTGCCCTTCAGGTCTGGAATTGAACCCACACCTGTGGCTTCCAGCCAAACAAAAGACAGGCATATGAGTTGAACATTTACCTGAGGTAGATACACTCCTAGGAGAGATCAATCATGGGAGAAAGAAGGGCTGTTTATGCACAGGGAGACAGCTCAGGGGGCAGGAGTACATGGAGGGATGGACACAAGGAAAAGGTAACTATGGGGGGGAAGTGGGAGGGGAGCTGTTGCATTGGGGTAAATTGTAGTCAATGTCATGAGACAAAGTGTACGTGAACTGCTGTATGGAAAGTGAATTTGCTCTGTAAACTTTCACCCGAATCACAATAAAAAATAAATAATAAAAGAACTGAAACATTTAAATTTTTAACTGGCACATACCATTGTGGGAAAACCACTGCAAACCTTTAAAGCGAGTAACTTGGGCTCAATCATAGTTTTAAGAACTAGCCAGGGATGACAAGAGTATGGGTTGCTGGGCATTAAATGATCAGAAATAAAAGACCTGTTTCTAGATTGGCGTTGGAACGTGTGTTCTCCTTTGGAACAACAGAAGGGAATGATAAGCTCCCTGCCCAGTGACTACTAGTCTTGGACCACACTTCCATAAAGACCCTCATGAAGACAGCAAGGGGCAAAAGGGCACTTATCAGCTGGAGAGAAAGCAGATACTTAGACCTTTTCAGCAACATTTATGGGGTGGAGTTTGTGGAGTACAGGGTTTGGATACACATGTACAGGGGTTCTACCTAGCGCTGGGTCTTCTACTCATCAGCTACACGACCACGGGTGAGTTATTAGTGTATTTTCCCACCAATAATGTAGGGATAATACCTCATATTTTGCAAAGTCTCTGTAAGAAGCAAATGAGACGGTAAAAATGTGTAAGACACTCAACCGCAATAAAATTATTTTCTTAAGAGAACTCTGGGCCTCCACGTTTTCAGTTTATTTGCCTTTGCTCCAAAGAGTCATATAAACCTGTTCCTCCTGCTCAGCTGTATGTGTGGGGAGGACTCTTCAGGGAGTGATATAAAGCTTCGTTTTCATTGTTAGCAATACCCGGTACAACAGCTGCACTTTATGACATCGCAGAAAGCACTCCAATAGGCTTGTGTCAGTAAATCAGAAGAAATGAAAATGCTATGTACTGCATATCCCCCAAACCTAATATTCTTACGACAAGCAGGGGCTTATAAAATGTATTTATTAAAGATTAACCCTCACAAAAGCAGAACCACCACTTTGTCAGCATTTTCCAAATAAAATGCAAGACAGTGTTCTTTCAAGTGTCTCAAAGCCAAAGTACGATACTTTTCATCATCTGAGACTTGTGGTGATGTTGTTGTGAACCTGTCTTTAAAAAAAAAAACAATAAGGAAAAAATGTCTGGCACCTAAGCCAACATTTTTAGAAGCTGTGACTCAGAGCTCACTTTATTATCTCAAAAAAAAAAAAAAAAAGTGGCATAGGAGAAGGCATTGTCCCGTCACTGGGCTGCCTGGCACCTCTCCAATTCAGCAGGCTGCATATACCTGCCCACAGCTCTTCTAAACTGTGATTGGAAGGCAGTAAAAGTAATTTCTCACTACTTTCTGGAGCTATACCTGTTTATTTTTAAGGTACCTGGGAAACATCAAATATTGAAGCACTGGTGAAGTGAATCAAATGAAAAAAATAAGGTTCAAATCTGTGCTTTAGTTTAAGACAAGGACCTAATCCTTTAAGTTAGGTGCATACAAAATTCTGTGAATACTGACAATTATTTGTCAGAAAGGAGAATTTTAATTCAAATGAGCTGGCTGAAGCCCAGGTGCACACACATGCACGCTGAATTAAAATAAAATTAAATAAAAATCAATTGAAAAAGTGGGAATCAGCAAGGAAAAGAAATGGAAGATTTTTGTCTCCAGGCTATGAGGTGTGTGTCAGGAGTTAAGGGTTTCAGAAATGATATCCAACTTGAACTTGAATTTTCATAGGCAAGGCTCAAAGATGGGTGGACAGAATGCAGAAAACAAAATCTCACAGGGAGATCAGTAGTGCTTTGGCTAAATCCAGAGATACAGATGTGAAACTTTAACATTTAGGGAGTAGGTCTGGCTTAGGCCAAAAGGATGCTTTGAAAAGACTAGCATCGATTACCACTCATAGCAACCCTACAAGATCAAGTGAAATTGCCCTATAGGGCTTCCAAGGCTGTAAATCTTTAGGGAAGCAGACTGCCTCATCTTTCTTCCACGGAGCAGCTGGTGGGTAAGGAGCAGCCGATGGGTTCGAACCACTGACTTTTTGGTTAGCAGCCCAATGCCTTCACCACAGTGCCACCGGAGCTTCTTGTAGAGTTGATAAGGGGTGTGGCAAAACACAACTTTAAAAGATACGAATATACAAGGGTCTAAACAGCCACTCCTCGGAAGGAAGGTTGGGCAATCCTACTTCCGTAGTGATACTGCCTCGGAAACCCAAGGAGGGGTCGCTATGAGTCGGGGCCGACTCGACGGCACACAACAACAACAACAAACAGCAAACATAAAATTTAGACTCATACGGCTTAGCTCTTGGGGTCTGTTATGCCCAATCTAAAAACCACCCGCTCCTTCCTACCAAGCTCCTTCCTACCAAGCGTTCCTTGACCGTACCCCATTATGCATTCTGCGCTTACATTCTTGTCTAGTGACTAGGCCCCCCCCTCCTGGGGTCACCCACAGCTTTGCACTCAAGATCAGAATAAGGGATTGCAGCCTTTCTCAAATTTGCAGATCCTACCAATCACCTGGGGCACATGTTAAAACAAAATTCTGGGCCGCACCCAGACATGCTGAGTCAACCGTCCAGGGATACCTGGGTATCGTTTTATTACAAGCAAGCATCCTAGATGGTTCTTCTAGCAAGGGGGAGGAAATCCTCAATTACACCAACTCAGCAGCATGGAGGTTCAGGCAAGTCATAGGCTCAAACTACAACCCGTGGGCTCCAGCCCCTGCAGGCTTTTGTCCTCTGCTGCCGGGTACCCCCAGAGACCTCAATTTCAGCTCCCTCAATGTTAGAAGCTAAGGTCCCGGGTCACAACAGCTGGCTAATGGCAGAGCCAGCTCTCAGATCCAGGTCTCCTGCATCCCAGCTCAGGTCCTTCCTCCTCAGGCACTGCTATCGGGCCTCGGACCTGGGCAGGCTGAGCAAGGAGCAAAGCAGCCGCGAAGGGCAGGGCGCTTCGGTAAAGGAGGTCAGGGCAAGCAGGGCAGGTCATCGGCTTCTCCCGAAGGCCCTGAAGGGAATGGGTGTGGCTACAGCTCCACCGAGGGACGGGCCTGGGAATAGGAAATGAGGGGATGTGGGGACTAAGGTGGGTTGGAGATGGGGCGTTGGGCAAAGTCGGCATACCCCGAAGCTCTCTCACCTGGTAGCCGCGCTAACTCGCTGTATCTCCGCAGTCGCCGGCTCCGCGCCTCGCGCCTCTCGCGAGAGGAGGAGACTCCGGCTACGAGAGGAAGGCGGAATCGGCCGCACCGCGGCGTCGGCGCTGCGCGTTGCGTGGTCGTCAGCACCGCCTCGAAGGCGTGCCCGCTTCCAAAATGGCAGCGGCGGCGGTGTCTGGGGCGCTTGGACGGGCAGGCTGGAGGCTTCTGCAGCTGCGGTGCCGGGCCGGTGAGGGGGCGGCCCAAAAGGGAAGCAGGGAGGAGCGGGAAGGGGGCGCGAGGCTGACCTGGGCTACGCGCGGGGCGAAGAGGCCGCCGTGGTGGCCCGCGAGCAAGGTGACATGAAGGGCATCGGCACAAGGCCGCTGGCTGTCAGAGGCTTGACTGGCCGCCTAGCGGGCTTTGGCCCACAGCCTCGAGCTGTCAGAGGCAAGAGCAGCGAAGTCAGCCCTGTCATCTCCGTTTAGTAGAGTTAACGGAGTCCCAGAGAGGCCTGGGGTGCCTGCCCAAGGTCACATAGCTCGTGGGTTACAGACCGACAGGCTCAGACCCATTCTCTAACTTGAAAACTTGTTATTGCCCAGGACCGCAAGAGAGACTAAATTGGAAATGGTCGCGGAGAGCACCTAGTGTAGTGTTTCCCAGATACCGGTCATTTCTCACCACTTAACTGATTCTGTGAAATCCTCGTATTATCTGTGCCGATGTACAGTGTAATTAAAGAATCCTGGTGGTGCAAAGGTTAAGCGCTCAGCTGCTGAGAAGAGCTGGCAGTTGAAACCCACCTGCAGGAGAGAAGACTTGGCGATCTGCTCCTACCTGGGAAACCCTACAGGGCAGTTCTACCCTGTCATATGGAGTCACTATGCCTCGGAATCGACAGAGGGCACACACCTTGTATAAAATGTTTTGATTTGTGTATCAGGTTTTCAAAACGTAGACATTTACTTAAGAGACTTTATCACCGTCATGAATGGAAAACCACTATCACCCATAAGTACAATGCATACATTGACACATTAATATAAATATATAACTAATGAAATAGTATTTCCCTTTCTCATGAACTGTAGTGATTCCACAATCCTAATTTGGGACTTATCTTCTTCTTTTCAACATTTTATGAGTATTTGCTCCAGTTTTTTGTACATATGCTTCACTGTTCTTTTCAAAATCATTATTCCCTGAGTGATTCCATAGATTTTTAAAAATGAGTTTCCTTTTGTTGTTTCATACAAAATTCCAAATTAAGTATGTTTAATAAAAGTAATGTGTGTATCCCAGCGAATGTGCTCCTAGGTCTTTATCCGAGAGAATAGAGTCATATGTCCACAAAAAAGATTTGTACAAGAATGTTCGTATCAGCTTTATTCATAATATCCAAAAGCTGAAACAGACCAGTGCTCATCAGTTAAGACTAGTATTTTTTTAATGGAGCTCAAAAAAAAAAAAGAAAACCCAAACTCAGTGCCATCCAGTTGATTCCAGCTCATGGTAACCCCATTGGGTTTTCTTGGCTGTAATCTTTATGGAAACAGATTGCCAGGTCTTCTGCAGTGGCACTGGGTGTGTTTGAACTGCCAACCTTTATGTTAGGAGACCAGTGCAAAACATTTGCACCACTCAGGGACTTAATGGACTACTTGTTTGTCGTCAAGTCAGCTTTGACTCATAACAACCCCTTATAGCAGAGTAGAACTGTCCTGTAAGGTTTCCTAGGCTGTAATTTTTGTGAGATCAGATTGCCTGGTATTTTATCCCACTACTTGATGATAAAAAGTAGTGATGTAATGATCTAATTGACACAAAGAATAGAACTTAATCTCAAAAATATGCTAAGTGAAAAATTCTTAGACAAAAAAAATACATACCTTATGATTATGATTACATGAAATTCTAGGACAGGGAAAACTAATCAGGGTGAAAAAAAAGTGTAGGGTGGAGACTGACTGGGGAGGGGCATGAGAGAACTTTATGGGGTGATGGTAATGCTCTTATCTGGAGAGGGGTCAGGATTCTCAAGTGTATAGATTTGTTAAAACTCAAAGTGGTACACTTAAGAATTGTACATTTCATTGTATATGAAATGCCACCTCAATGAAAGAACCATAAACAAATTTTGAACTCTAGTTAATGATACACTGAAGTGTTTATGGATGAAGAATATTGAGGTCTATAACAAATGCATCAAAAAATAAGACGAAGGATGTGATGGATAGATGTGTAGAATTGTTGTTGTTGTTGTGTGCCGTCGAGTTGTCTCTGACTCAGCAACCCCTCCTTGGGTTTCCGAGGCAGTATCACTATGGCAGTAGATTGCCCAGTCTTCCTTCCAAAGAGTGGCTAGTGGGTTTGAACCGCCAACCTTCTGGTTAGCAGTTGAGTGAGGTGGTAGACATACAGTTGTTCATCTTTCACCTTGTCTATATGTTTAAAATTTCTACAATAACATGTTAGGAAAGAAAAAATAGTATTGGCCTATGCTTGTTGTTGTTAAGTGCTGTTGAATTGCTTCTAACTCACAGCGACCGGACGCACAACAGAGCGAAACACTGTCGGGTCCTGCGCCAGCCTCACAGTGCTCGCTGTGCTTGAGCCCACTGTTGCAGCCACGAACTGACACAGTCCGTCTCATTGAGGGTCTTCCCCTTTTTTCGCTGACTCTCTACTAAGCATATCTTCTCCAGGGATTGGTCCCTTCTGACAACTGAAGCACGTGAGATGAAGTCTGGCCATTCTCGCTTCTAAGGAGCATTCTGACTGTACATCTTCCAACACAGATTTGTTCATTCTTCTGGCAGTCCATGATATTTTCACTATTCTTCACCAGCACCACAATGCAAATGCATCAGCTCTTTGGTCTTCCTTTTTCATTGTCCAGCTTTCACATGCTTATGAGGCTATTGAAAATACCATGGCTTGCATCAGCCACACGTTAGTCTTCAAGTGACATCTTTGCTTCTTAACACTTCCAAGAAGTCTTTTGCAGCAGCTGTGCCCACTCAACAGTATGTTTTGAACATCTTTCAAAGTATACATTATTTTAACAACTATATAACATTCTAGCCAATGGCTGTATCAAAATTTGTTGACCCTGTCTTTTACTGGTGTATATTTAGATTTCTTTCATCAGTATGAAAAATGATGTGATAATCTTAGACATGGGATCACTAGGTCAAAGGACATGCACATAGAACATTTTGATCTTTCTTTCTGTGGGACTGAACTGCCCTCCAGAAAGATAAAAGTAATTTACATTTCCATTAGTTTTTTTTTTTTTTTTTTGCTGCTTAATCCTGTCACTAAGTGATACTGCCTCGGAAACCCAAGGAGGGGTCGCTATGAGTCGGCCGACTCGATGGCAAACAGCAACAAAGAAGTTTCTCTAGACCTGAAATCAGTGTTTGCAGTCATTTTTTGGTTTCCTAATGAAAATATTTTTATTTCAGTGCAATACATTGTCTGGTTTCTTGACTGCTGCTTCCATGGGCATTGACGTGGATCCAAGTAAAATGAAATCCCTGACAACTTGAATCTTTTCTCCATATATTATGATGTTGCTTATTGGTCCAGTTGTGAGGATTTTTGTTTTCTTTATGTTGAGATGATATCCCCAGTGAAAACTGTAGTCTTGGATCAGTAAGTGCTTCAAGTCATCTTCACTTTCAGCAAGCAAGGTTATGTCATCTGTGTATCTCAGGTTGTTACTGAGTCTTCCTCTAATCCTGATGGCTCGTTCTTCTATATAGTCCAGCTTCTTGGATTATTTGCTCAGCATACAGATTGAATAAGTATGGTGCAAGAATACAACCCTGACGCCCTTCCTCATTTTAAACCACACAGTATCCCCTTGTTCTATTTGAACAACTGCCTCTTGGACTATGCACAGGTTCCTCGTGAATTTAAGTATTCCAGAATTCCCATTCTTCACGGTGTTATCCATAATTTCTTATGCTCTACACGGTTGAATGCATAGTCAATAAAAAACAGCAAACACCTTTCTGGTATTCTTTGTTTTCAGCCAAGATCTATCTGACATCAGCAATGATATCCCTTGTTCCACGTCCTCTTCTCATTCTGGCTTGAATTTCTGGCAGTTACCTGTCAATATACTGCCGCAACTGTTTTTAAATTGTCGTCAGCAAAATTGTACTTACATATGATATTAATGGGAGCTCTGGTAGCGTAGTGCCTTAGACACTTGACTGCTAACCAGAAGGCTGGCGGTTCAAACCCACCAGCCACTCCTTGGAAGGAAGATGGGGCAATCTACTTCTGTAGTGATACTGCCTTGGAAACCCAAGGAGGAGTCGCTATGAGTCAGGTCCAACTTGACGGCACATAATGACAACATGATATTAATGATATTGTTGGATAATTTCTGCATTCTGTTGGATCAGCTTTCATTGGAATGGGCATGTGTTAGGCACAGATAGGAATCTTTTCCAGTGGGTTGGCCAGGTAGCAGTCTTCCAAAATTCCTGGCATAAATGAGTGGGCACCTCCAGTGCTGCCTCCATTTGTTGAAATATCTCAGTGGGTATTCCATCAGTTCTGGAGCATTGTTTTTCACCAAGTCCTTCAATGCAGCTTGGACCGTCTTTCATTGTCATCAGTTCTTGATCATATGCTACCTCCTGAAATGGCCAAATGTCCACCAGTCCTTTTTGGTACAGTAACTGTGTATTCCTTCCGTCTTCTTTTCATACTTCTTGTATCATTCAATATTTTGCCCATAGAATCCTTCAGTATTGCAAATTGAGGCTTGGATTTTTTTTCTTCAGTTCTTTGCGCTTCAGAAATTCTGAGTGTGTTCTTCCCTTTTGATGTTCTAACTCCAGGTCCTTGCACATTTCATTATAATCCTTCACTTTGGCCTGCACTTAGGGAAGCCCTTTTGTAAATGAAGTAGGCGGTGCAAATGTTGCAGAGGAAAAAGCAGATAGGGATTAGAGACTGTCTAGATGTAAGCCGGAGTCAGTACCTTGATCTAATTCCTAGTTCAGTGCTCTTGCCATGTATATAAATGTGCAACGTTTTCAAAGTCTTTTCACTTTTTTGGGGGGGCCTCAAACACTTCTCTTGAGCAAGGAGGGGTTATTTGCAGATTTTTAAATCGTGCATGAGAGAGTAAAATGGTTTGCCCACTGCCACACAGCTAATAAATGGTAGACAGAAGTTTAGAAGCCAAACACTCAGCCCTTTTGTCACCATGCTGTGCTCCAAGGTTACCAGTTTATCTGAGATCTTCATGTGGGAATTTGCAGTGGGATAAGAGGTCCTGGGGTAGACTCTGCCCTGCTTTTCCTCTTAGTACTGTTCTGGGTCTGATCCTCACTGACAAGCCCGGTCACTGTTTCAGTGTCCCGCTGCCGACCTCTGGTGCCACGTGCCTTCCATGCTTCAGCTGTGTGGCTGCAGTCTTCAGATGAGCAGAAGCAGCAAACTCCCCCACCTCATTCTCAGCAGCGCTCTGAAACACAGAGGCCGGAAGAGCCCAATCCAGAGGCTTCTCGTTCACCTCCCAGGTAAGCACCAGGACCCCAGGCTACCCATTTCTGGCCACTTTCCATGATTGGTGTTTCTGTTCCTCCCTCCCTTCTTCCTTGTTCCTCCCTACCCCTCCCTCTTCCACTGTTTTCAGGTCTATCTTAGTTTTTATAAAGAACTGGCTACACATTCTGAAATACCTTAACAATCAGAGAAGAACATAAAAATTTTTTAAATCACCAGAAATCACAAACCCAGCTAGTATTTTGGTGACTATCCTTTTAAATGTTACTCTAAGCATATTTCATATATAAATCTTCCTATATAGTAAATCGTTATGTTATATACACTGTTGTAAAACCTGTCCGCCCCCCCACACACACACAGCAGTAGGTTTTGAACATCTTTCAAAGTATACATTATTTTGACGACTATATAACATTCTAGCAAATGGCTGTATCAAAATTTGTTGACCCTATCTTTTACTGGTGTATATTTAGATTTCTTTCACTGGTATGAAAAATGATGTGATAATCTTAGACATGGAATCACTAGGTCAAAGGATATGCACATAAAACATTTTGATCTTTCTGTGGGACCAAACTGCCCTCCAGAAAGATAAAAGTAATTTACATTTCTTTGAAATTTTTTCTTTTGCTTCTTAATGCTGTCACTAAGAAGTTTCTCTAGACCTGAAATCAGTGTTTGCAGTCATTTTTCTGGTTTCCTACTTAAAATATTTTTATTTCAATACAACAAATAGTTTTTGAGAATCTACTGTGCCAAAGGAGCCTGGTGGCTTGATGGTTAAGTGCTTGGCTGCTAACCAAAAGGTTGGTAGAGTCAGCCTAGCGGCTCCCTGGGAGAAAGACCTGGTGATCTGCTCCTATGAAGATTACAGCCTAGAAAACTCTAAGGGGCAGTTCTGCTCTGTCACTTGGAGTCACTATGAATCAAAATTGATTTGACACACCCAACAACAACAGATGTGTGCCAGGTTCTGCAAATAATGTAAACAGCTACTGCCCTCTTACATTCTGGTCCACATGCAGATAAAGAGACCATCGAAGCACTGTGCTGTGTGGCTTTAAATGGGAAATCCATAGTGCTATGGGAACATGTGGGAACCCTGATGATGCAGTGGTAAGTGCTCAGCTGCTAACCAAAAGCTTGGCGGTTCGAACCCACCAGCCATTCCAAAAGAGAAGGACCTGGTGATTTACTTCTATAGAGCTTACAGCCTGGGAAGCCCTATGGGGCAGCTCTACTCTGTCGGTCAGAGTTGCTAAGAGCTGGAATTGACTCGGCGGCACTCAGCAACAACATGGAGCATTTGCCTGTGTGCCACATGGTGTCCCCAACCACTTGGTCCCTTCTCAGTGACTGCATGAGAGAAGAAGGATGATGCCATTTTTACCCTGTTGGCACTAAAAACATCAACACTGACACAAAAATAAATGTGCTTAGAGGAGACACAGAGTCTCTGGGTTTTGGTCAGGCACGTTTTGCATGCCAGCAGTAGGCAGTGAGATGAGGCTCTGTCCTCATGTCTCTTGGCTTTGGGTCTCAGGTACACAGACCAGGGTGGCGAGGAGGAGGAGGACTACGAGAGCGAGGAACAGCTGCAGCACCGCATCTTGACGGCAGCCCTGGAGTTCGTCCCTGCCCATGGGTGGACAGCAGAGGCCATCGCGGAAGGAGCCAAGGTGTGTCTAGGCGAGCCCAGGGTGGCCTGACCAGGGCCAGCCAGGAGGAAGTTGCACCACACAGAGCAGAGGGCTCTTTCCAGCCCAACTCTGAGTCCCTACAGGATTTTTTGGGTCTGTTTTAAAATTTCTATGTCTCTTTTTCCCAGTAGTGTGGAAATCACTTTATCAATATTATTAATGTGAAAGAAATGTACCATAAAGTTAGTTCTTGGGAGTTAGATTCTAAAGGTAGTCTGTTAAGGAAGAACTGCTATGGTCAAACTACCATATTTTATTGATGGTAATGGTTGTGAGAAGTACCAGTATCACGAGAAAAGAACAAATAAAACCAAACTCACTGCCATGGAGTCGGATCAAACTCATAGCAACCCCTCCTTGGGTTTCCCAGTCAGTATCTCTAAGGAAGTAGATTGCCCAGTCTTCCTTCTGAGGAGTGGCTGGTGGATTTGAACCGCCAGCCTTCTGGTCAGCAGTCAAGTGCCTTAGGCACTACGCCACCAGAGTTCCTAGAAAAGAACAACTACTGCCTGTTAAATACTGCCTGTTGAACTATGGCCCATCAGTGTACAACTCCACACTGATTGTTTAAAATGAAAACAAAAAAAGTGCATCTTAGAATAGATGAAATACAATGTTTGAAAACCTTTAGAGGGCACCATTTTGGAGACCAGCACGTGTTACTGTTTCTCAGTGAGTCAAATAGTCGGCTCTTCCTCCTGCGTGGGAACAGACTGCCGCTCTAGATTAAGAGATAGGCTTGTGTTTAGGCCAGAAATGGAACAGGATTGTTTGGAAAATTTGATTATACCAAATAGTCTACGGTCATCTGGCTTTGTTTTCACTTCTGTGTACTGTCATTCCTAATGGCTCCATGATACTTATTACATCTACTTGTCATCAATTAGTGAACAACATGGGTTGTTTCCAGGTTTTTGTATTATAAATATGTTTGTATGATATATTTGAGCACATTTCTGATTAGTGTTTTTGTTTTTTGAACATTATGGTTTGGGTGAAAGTTTACCGAGCAAATTAGTTTCTCATTCAATAGTTTATATACATTTTGTTTTGTGGCATTACTTGCAATCCCTTCAATGTAACATCACTCTTCTCTCTTCCACTCTGGGTGCTCTGCTTCCTTTGGCCCATCTTTCCTGCCTCTTCCTGCCTCCTAAACTTTGTGTTTGGGCAAATGCTGCCTTTTGGTCTCATTCGGTTGATTGTTCTGATGAGCACATTCCTGGTGTTAGTGTTCACTATAGGCGTATTGTTTGGCTGAAAGGTGATTTCTGGGACTGGTTTCAGTTCCAGGTTTGATGAGAGTGTAAGGGCCATAGTCTTAGTGGTTCTACCAGTCTCTATCAGATCAGTAAGTCTTTTTTTTTTTTTTTTTTATGATTTTGAATTTTGTCCTACATTTTCCTCCTACTTTCTCCAGGCTCTTCTGTTGTGATCCTGATCAGAGCATTCAGTCATGGTAACTGGGCACCATCTAGTTCTTCTGGTGTCAGGCTAGTGGAGGAGGTGATTCATGTGTTCCATTAGTCCTTTGGGCTGATTAGGTCCTTGAATCTTTGATTTTCTTCACTTTTCTTTGCTCTGGACAGGAAGAGACCAATAGTTGTACCTCACATGGCCACTTGCAAGCTTTTAGGACCCCAGGTGCTACTCACCACAGTAGGCTGTAGAGCACTGTCTTCATGGACTACATTATACCAGTTGACCTAAATGTTCCCTAGCCTGAGGTCCTAAGCCCTCATGCCCAGTGACTCAGTCCATCAGGTCTTTGGTTATGGCTAAGAAGTTTGCATAACTTTGCCCTTTGTAAGCTCTACTATACACCTGGATATATTTGCAGCACATAGAAACACGTATGTAGGAATAGCCTCTGCCAAACCTGTGTGCTCATGGATGTACTCCCACATACCATGCACACCTGTTCAGCTTACATAGCTACCTATGTATCCACCCCTGCATTATTGTTGTTATTACATTATTGCAGGATTGTTTATGTAAATCATATCTACCCCTGTCGCCTTTTACTCTTGCATCCCTCCCAGTAGCTTCCTTTGCCCTGGTCATGTTGTGCTGACCTCCGCCTTATTGTATTGCCTTCCCTTCACCTAAGTTATTTGTTGTTGCTGTTATGTGCCGTCGAGTCGGCCCCGACTCATAGCGACCCTTCCTTGGGTTTCTGAGGCAGTATCACTACGGAAGTAGGATTGCCCAACCTTCCTTCCGAGACCTAAGTTATAGTGTCTAATCTATTAGTGATTTCCCTTCCTCCCTCTCCCATCTTTAGTAACCATCAAAGAATGTTTCTTCCTGTGTGTAAACCTTTTCTTAACTTTTAATACTAATAGTCTCATACAATATTTGTCCTTTTGTAATTAACTTGTTTCACTCAGCATAATATCCTCCCGGTTCCTCCCAGTTATGAGATGTTGCATGGACTCCTCATTATTCTTGAACATTTCACAGTATTCCATTGTGTATGTACCGTAATTTGTTGATCTATTCATCTGTTGGTAGGCACTTAGCTGGTAGCTATCTTTTTGCTGTTGTGAATAATGCTGCAGTAAACATGAACGTGCATATATCTGATTAGTGTTTTAGGACAAATTTTGAGAAATGGAAAGGCTCTTTTAGGGAGTGTATTAGTCAGGGTTCATTCAGTCAGGGGACAGAAGCCACACCAGTGATTCAAATGGAGGGATTAGTACAAAGAATTGCTACTAGATACAGAGTTGGTAAACAGGTAACTGAAAGGCTAGAATAAAACTGTGAGATATCAGGGAAGTAGGACCTGCAGCAGACAGCTCCCACCTTCAAAGCTAAGGGAACAAAGAGCTGGACTTAGTCAATCTCAGAGCTTGGAGGAGAGTTCCTGTGGAGGGGGCCTCTGGTCTCTGAGGTGGACCAGCTACTCAGCTGGTGCTGGTGTCTCCAAGCTTGGAGGAAAGGCACTCTGGGCTGGCCCCACATCTCTGAGGAAGGGCCTTGGCCCCTGGTGCTGGTGAGTGGTCATAAGGGAGGGCAGGCGGGAGGTGGCTTGATGCAGCTGTTCTGCAGATGTTGCGAAAGCTGTGAGCTGGATTCACTGCTGCTATAGGATGGACCTGCTGCTCCAGAATGAAGGTGCATTGCTGAGGTGCTGCTCCCAGAGACCACAGCAGCCAGGAAGTAAGCAGGAAGGAGAATGCTGCTGCTTTCTCCAGCCTCACAGTCTCTTTTGTCGACCCTATTGGCAGACCCTAATGTGGAGCCAGAAATGTGGTTTGCAGAGTCTTAGCCCCTAAGTCAGAAAGCAGAGGATAGAAGAGCGGGATTGGATCTGAGAGATAATAACTTCATAACAGGTCCAGAGACTCTACATATTTTTGAGGTTCTTGTTACATACATATTGGAGGCAATATAGTATGGTGGTGAAGGGCTTTACCTCGGTTTACCTCTGTAATATATAGGTGATAATATATACACCTGATTGAGTTGTGAGATTTAGTGGGATTATGTACGAAATGTCCTTAGCAAGGTGCACACAGTAACCATTACCACTGCTGCTGCTGCAGCTCCTCCCTTGTCATTGCTAATTTTACCAAATTGCCTTTCAGAAAGGCTGTGCCTTCCATCCAAGGAGAGGTGATTTCCCCAGTCCTGATGGTGAGTGGTGGTGCTAGGTGCCATGGAGTTGGTTTCAGTTCACAGTAACCCCGTGGGACAGAGTAGAACTGCCTCACAGGGTTTTTAGGAGCAGATTGCCAGGTCTCCTTTGTCCCAGGGAGCTGCTGATGGGGTTCGAATCCCCAGCCTTTCAGTTAGCAACCAAGCACTTAACTGTTGTGCCGGGGCTCCTTCCACAGTGGGTGTTTATGTTCAATCTGTTGTCATGGCTTCTTCCTTGTGCTAGCCCTGCTGCTGGCAGGCAGGGTTCTGCCACCAGTAGATGCTCAGAGCGTGCTGTGTCAGGAACAGCAGAGTCCTCTCAACCTTGTTAACTCCTTGCCAACTCATTAAGAAAACGCTGGTGTGTATTTAGATAGTTTTAAACAGAGACTCAATTTCCAAGAGATTGAGGTTAAGGGAATTGGTCTGAAAGAGTTGTGAGTTTTCTTTAGGTTTTTTCTCTTCCCAGGCCTCTTACTATCCTGGTTAGGACCTTTATGTTGTAAGTGCCAGAAGCTCAATTCTAACTGGCTTATGGAAGAGAGGAGGTGTTTGGGCCCATTTCATAACAGAAAAGTCTGGACGTACTCCTGGCAGTGTCCTTAGGCCATGCTGCTGAGGACCGTCTCTCTCTGTCATCTTTGCTGCGCTTTCCTCTCTGTGAGCTTCACTCTCAGCAGGTATTTCCAGGTGGGACTGAAAATGGCCTAGCAGCCCAGGAGAAGGAGAACATCTCCATCCCATTGTGCGTCAGAAGTCCTGAGGAAGACTCTTTCTTGTGTGTGTGTGATCTGGATGAAAGTTGATAGCATAAATTCATTTTCCAGACAGCAGTTCACTCACATTTTGTTTCATGACGTTGATTGCAATCCCCATAATGAAGCAGCTCTCTTCCCACTTCCTCCCCATGGTTACCTTCTCCCTGTGTCCCCCTTTCCAGTGTATCCCTGCCCTCCTAGCTGTCTCCCTGTGCAAATACTGCCCTGCTGATCTCCATGATTGATTTGTTCTCTTGTAAATGTTCACCCTGTACACCTATCTATTGTTTGGCTGGAAGCCATGAGAGTGAGTTCAGTTCTAGGCCTAAAGGGTGACTAAGGACCATAGTCTTGGGAGTTTCACCGCTTCTCTATCAAACCACTAAGCCTGATCCTTTTTTATGTATTTTGAGTTTTGTCCACATTTTTCTCCCACTCTATCCAGAATCTCCTGCACTGATCCTATTCCAAGTAGTTGACAGTGGTAGATGGGCACCATTTAGTTCTGGTATCCGGGTTATGTGGGCTGAGGTTCACGTGGTTCAGTAGTCCCTTGGACTAATTGTCTCCATGCATCTGTGGTTTTCTTCACTCTTCTTTGCTCCAGACAAGGAGAGACTAATTGTTGCATCTAGATGGCTGCTTGTAAGCTTTTTTAAAAAAATTTTATTGTGATTTGGGCGGAAGTTTACAGAGCAAATTTGTTTTCCATATACCAGCTCACATATACTTTGTCTCATGACATTGATTGCAACTTCCCACAATGCAGTAGCTCCCATCCCACTTCCTCCTCATAGTTACCTCTTCCCTGTGTCCTTCCCTCCCATGTACTCCTGCCCCCTGAGCTGTCTTCCTGTGTTTTGCTTGTAAGCTTTTAAGACCCCAGTTGCTAATCACCAAAGTAGAATGTAGAACAATGGTATTGTGTAGTATGTTATGCCAACTGAGCTTGATGTCCCCTGCGACCATTGTCCCAAGCCCACAGGTCCAACACTCGGTCCTGAGGCAGACTCTTAAGGCCTGGATTGGTGACATGCCCAACCCTGAGCTAGTCACTGTGAACTTCGGTTACTCAAGCCTGGATCCTGTGCTTTGCACACACACAAAGGAGCTTGATGGGGTGTGGAGTGACTGGTGGTCCACTTCACCCAAACCACACCGACCAAGAGTGAGGCATGGGGGTGCCCTGCTGAAAATCAGGCTGCTGTTACTAGAAGAAAGAGGATGCCAGTGGTGAACAGGCAATAGATACCTACTCCACGTGCCCACTGCCTTTCTGTTTCCTCTCTCCCCTTTTGTAGTCCCTGGGGCTCTCCAGTGCAGCAGCCAGCATGTTTGGGGATGATGGCAGTGAGCTGATACTGCACTTTGTGACCCAGTGCAACGCTCGGCTCACTCGTGTGCTGGAAGAGGAGCAGAAGATGGTACAGCTGGGCCAGGCAGAGTGAGTCCTATGGCATTATCACTCAGGGTGGCAGCTAAGGATCAAGGGACTCAAGCCCCACCAGCTGTCCCCAGGAGGCTGATCCAACCAGGGCCAGAAGAGTAGCAATGAGCAGCCCTGCTGCTTTGATGGAACCAAAGCCCAGCACCCTGTCTGACAGCTCTGGTCAGACCAGCCTCAGAGCTGCTGGCATCTCCACTATAGGGCTGAGTGAGCAGTGGTAGCATCAAGCCCGTGCCTTTGACCCAGAGACACACTGTTTTCTTTTCCCTCTTCCAGGAAGAGGAAGACAGACCAGTTCCTGAGGGATGCAGTGGAAACCAGGCTGAGAATGCTGATCCCGTACATTGAACACTGGCCCCGGGTACAGAGTCCAGATCCAGGCCCCAGAGCAACAATAATATTAGCACCAAGAATAATAATAATATTTATACTTCTTAGCACCTTTCACTCAGATGACTTTGTACACAGTTCCAGTGTCAGCTCATTAATCTTTGCTGTCAGCCCAGGAATACTCAGTGCACTGGGTAGAGCTAGGTTTCAAGCTTAGGAGTGCCAAAGAAAGGAACTCTGAGCCATCTGTGTCTCAATCTGGAATTGAGAGTAGCCTTGGGTATGAAATCATATCCTGGGTGGGGTCCTAGTGGCCCGAGTGTGCCATCAGGTCTTCAGTGAGGAAGGATCCATGACAAAGGTTGGAAAGGCATCTTCACTTCATTAACTGTTGGGTTCCAGATCTCAGAGGACTGGGACTTTAAATTGTCAGTGTAGTGGTTGAGATGGGAGTACTCATTCCAAGGACTTTTTCCCCGTTCTGAAGCTTCCATTTCCCTGTTTCAAGGCATGTCCCAGTGCTGGGCCATTTTCTCTGTTAACAGAGTATAAAGTCAAAGCACATCAGAAATGAGAGGGACTCAGCTCGTCTGGTGGCCTCTGCCCAGCGTGAAGGGTCTATTGAGTTTGCATTTCTAGTCAATCAACTGACACTCTGAACACCTATGGTGTACCTAACACCAGGCTGGGCAACAAAGTACAGCCAAGAGTCGGGTCCCATCCTCTGCTTGTGCTCACTCCACTTGAATTTCAGCCCCTGGCCTGGACTCATTGTACAAGGCACTCGCCTTGCTGTTAAATTTGTGTCAGTGCAGTCCCACGCCAGCCTCATGTTTGGTTACAGATCAGACTGTTGTGATCCTCAGGGGTCTCATTTAAAAAAAAAAAGAGCAGTGAGAGTGCACATGGAAGGCCCTGGGCTGCCTTCTTAGTTCAGCAGAGCGTTCCTTCTGGAATACTTCACTAAAAGAAAACTTTCCAGCCAGACCAGGACCTCTGACTGGCTCCCACAGGAGTAACCAGTGGATTTTAGAGTTAGTAATATAGCAAGACCTTATATTCTCAGGCCAGGAGGGCTGATGTCTGCTAGTGGTGAAGTTTCTGGGTTGTGCCATATTGTTGTTGTTGTTGTTATGTGCCGTCAAATAGCAGTCAAGTGCTTTAGCCACTATGCTACCAGAGCTCCTTGTGCCATATTAGTCGAAGGTTTTTTGGTTGCAGGTAACAAATCAACTTGATTTAAGCAGTAAAAAGGGGAGGAATTTATCATGAGGCTACAGTGATACATCAAGGGCAGCAATGCTGTGAGCCCAGAGGGTGGCCTAGAACTTGAACCTGGAAAACCTTAGACTTCCCTCCTGACTCTGCTTATTTCTTCCTGTTAAAGAATCCGGTGCCCTCCCCCATCCTCACTCTCAGTATTCAATTCCCGTTTCCAAATTCTAGGGATGGAGAATCTGATTGGGCCAGGTTAGGACAGGAATCTGCCCCTGGTTGCCATCAGCTGTAGTTAGGGTTGTTAGTTGTCAGGAGCTCTGCCAATGGATAGCAGTGATGGGGCTCAGAAAACCGAAGCTGGACAAGCCCCTGTACCCCTAATACCTCTGTAGGAAAGTTTCCCACCAGCCACTTACGGTCTCTTGTTACCTGTGTGCAGGTGTGCAGTGCCCATTCTCCTGTCATTCTCTTCCCAGGCCCTCAGCATCCTCATGCTCCCTCACAACATCCCGCCCAGCCTGAGCCTGCTCACCAGCATGGTGGACGACATGTGGCATTACGCTGGGGACCAGTCCACAGATGTAAGTGCTTTCTCCAGGCCTGCAGGATACTGGAGACAGCTTGGGTTACAGGAATCCAGTCTCGGCCCTGGGATGGTACTAAGCATTTCTTCAAGAAGTTTGTGAAATTCACATGCTCAGAAGTCCCATCAAGTGGCCTGCAATGTCATTTCCATTTTGGAAAGGAGAGAGGAAGGTCACTCAGCAAGCCAAAGTGGGATCTGGATCTTCATTCGGGGACCAGCATTCTAGCCACAAATGAGTGTTCATTCTTTCTGGCCTGCAGTGGTGATACGAGGCGTTAGAAGGCTTTGTAATTGGGCTGCTTCTTACAGGCATTTTCCCCTCACTCTCCTAAGATGTAGATTCTGCAGCAGAATCTCTCAGTATGTGTCTTTCCTGAGGCTGATATTAAAGAAAGAATGGCACAGGAACACCCATTGCTCTAAAAAGAACACCCTTCCCCAGCCCTGCTTTGCTAAGAGATCAATAAGCACCAGGGAAGAATCTGACTTGTTAATGCCATCATCTTTCTGGCAGGAAATGAAAAAAGATCGTATCCCTTCATAAAAGAAACTAATGTGTGCTTTGTGAAATCTGGGATGAGGAATGGTAGTATAACTGGTGTTGTCCAGAGGACCGTGGGTGTGTGTGTGAGATACTCCCACCACAGTTGTAACAAAGGGCTTTAATAAACTTGGCCCATGTGGGAATACACTACCAATTGAGAGGGTAGGAAAATGAAATTAGAAAGCAGAGAAATTAAAGGAATAAAACATCAGCTGAGCTAGTGCTGTGCATAGTTTGCCGGGACGGCCAGAAGTTGTCAAGGGACTTGAGCTCTCACTTCTTCCCAGATGTCTGATTCATCTGTGAGCTCTCTTTACTGAAGAGCACACCAAGGTTGGTCACAACAGGTGGATTCCCAAGCCTAGCCATCTCACCAGCAGTTCCACTGGAGACTGGATGTAGCAAAATCACCTGTTTATTGAACATCCAGAGTCCTACCTTTACTTCAGACCCACTGACTCTAAACTCCAGGTGGTGGGCTTAGGAGTGTACGTGTTTATTTACTCCCAGGTATTTCTGATGCCCAGCTAAGTCTGGGAAGGGTAGTGTAACTCCTGTTGTCCAGAGGACCATAGGTATCTGTGAGGGAAAGAAGAGTAAGCAGGGAGCCCCTGAGTCCCCATGGCCTAGAGTGGGAACTACCCCAGACTGCCCCCAGCAGTAGTGGTGACCCTCTTCCTGGGTGGTTTCCTTTGCAGTTTAACTGGTACACCCGCCGAGCTGTGCTGGCTGGCATCTACAACACCACGGAGCTGGTGATGATGCAGGACTCCTCCCCAGACTTCGAGGACACTTGGCGCTTCCTGGAAAACAGGATTAATGACGCAATGAACATGGGCCACACTGCCAAGCAGGTAGTTTGGGGCTAGCCATTTGGGAAGTTTCTTCACTAGGAAACCCCGTCTTCCTAAGGCCACAGCTGGCACCTGTCTGTTCTCTTCCTTCTTTCTGGCCTCAGCTGATGGCCTTGAGGGACTTCCCAGGGAACCCAACCAGTTCTTCCTCATGTCAGCACTGACCTGAGGCCCAGACTTTGCCTGTTTATGATTGTGTTAACCACAGGCTCTTTCTCCAGTAATCAGGGCCCTCTTGACCCATCTGTTGGGGCTTACAAGCCTCCTCATTCATCCTGCTTGTCCCACCTTTGAGATTGTGTTGGGGGCTTACAGGAGCCTGACTCTGACTCCTTCTAGGTAAAGTCCACCGGAGAGGCACTGGTGCAGGGACTCATGGGTGCTGCAGTGACGGTGAGTATCACCCAGCTCACCCCTGCTGGCCCCCCACATCACCCTGACCCTGTGACAATTACAACATGTATGACCAACAACATGGTTTTGTAGCCTCAAACTGGAAAGCTAATAATCATACGTTAGGGAATAGTTCACCTGCTCAGCTTTGTGGTCCCAAATACCCCATCTATTTCTCTGCTGTGAATGAAGAACAGTTGCTGATTGTCTGTGCCCTGGGGTGTCAGGTTCATTGTATCATAGCCATGCCTGCCACCTTGAAAATCCTGACTGCCCTTGTTGGGGTCCTATAGGCAGGGCAAGGCCCTCACAACTCTTGTTTCCATTCTTGTGTATCAGCTCAAGAACCTGACGGGTCTAAACCAGCGCCGGTGAGAAGGAAGGGATGTCGGCTGGAGTGCCCAGAAGAAAACCGCAGACATACTTAAAGGGCTCTGAAAAGTACGACATGCCTTCCACGTACAGGAGGTTACTGAGGAAACACTGAAGGACTCCCGAGTCACTCCTTTAGCTCTTGGAAACCACAGGCACTTGACAGGGCAGTTCTGGCCCGGGATCGGGCTGCTGCTTCAGTTTCTAATAGCAGGCCAGACTTCCTGATGCCTTTCTGCATTGCAGCTGTGTGACTGAAAAATTAGGATCTCATCCAAGCAGTCAAGCCACAGAAGCACGGCATGTCCCCATCGTGGTCCCACAGGCAACTTGATCATATCTACCTTCCTGGAAGTGCTGAGGCTCCCAAGCCCATGCCAAGGTCTGAAGCCACCATAAGGTGGCAGCTTATGCCCAGTGGCACCCAAACTTGTGCACACAGAGCTGTCCTGACAACACTCTTCTCTCCTGCTGCCTGAGATCCTAAACCTGGGAACCCTCCCAGAGAGCTGCCTCACCTGAGATGGGTGCCCGCTGGGCAGTGGTGCTCAACTTGACCCGATGTGGTCACAGGCCAGTGTTGCATTACACTGGCATGCACTGCAGGATTATTAGTGATTTTAGAGTATAAAAATGACAATAAATATGTTGGAAGCAGTTTTCTGTTGTTTCTATATAGGCATGGCAAGTATCCACGACCCCAGGAGGAGACAGCTGGGGTAGTGCTGAGGAAAGCGCTTGAGGCTAGCAGCCGGGAGACCTGTACTCTGGTCGTGGCACTCACTAGTACTACCAGGTAATTATGGTAACTGCATCTCGGCTGGGTCTCCTCATCAGTAGCTTGCCGGGGGCTTTCCCTCATGCCATCAGCTTCCTTAGCTGCTCTTGTCTGGCCATCCAGCCGTGCCACAGCCATTTCAATGAGGTGGACTTTAGCTTTCGTAATTTTCTCAGTCTTCTCTGGCTGGGCTCCATTTGCCAGTCTGGTTAGCTGTCTTCCGTTTTGTTCTCTCCTGCTTATGTCGGCTGAGTATTGACTGAGGAGGCCATGAACTAGTAACAGTCTCAGATCTCTTCTCATGGGCCTGCCACTGAGCCCTTTCTGCACCTCTAATTCTTTTCATCTCCTAACACCCTGTCATGTTCCCTGCAGTAGCTGTTCAAATTTCATTCCAGTCTATCCATATAGCAGATGACCTGAAACCTTCATTTACTGAGAAGAAACAGGCGTGGACCAAGAACCCCCTCAGTGCCCTTCCTTTCCTATCTCAGGAAGAGGTGCCACTCCTTGCTACACACTCCTTTTTTTTTTTTTTTATTTTTTACTATGATCTGGGTGAAAGTTTATAGAGCAAATTCATTTTCCATATAGCAGCTCACATATACTTTGTCTCATGACATTGACTGCAATTTCCCATAATGCAACAGCTCCCCTCCCACATCCTCCCCATAGTTACCTCTTTCCTGTGTCCTTTCCCTCCCATGCACTCCTACCCCCCGAGCTGTCTCCTTGTGGATACACAGCCCTCCTATTCTTCCATGATTGATCTCTCCAAGGAATATATCTGCCTAATGTAAATGTTCAGCTCATATGCCTATATTCTATTTGGCTGGAAGCCACAGGAGTGGGTTCAGTTCCAGACCTGAAGGGCAGCTAGGGGCCTTAGTCTCTGAGTCGCTCTTACAGGGGTTCAACCAGATTCTATCAGATCAGCAGACCTAGTCTCCCCCCCTTTTTTTTTTAAATTACGATTCTGGGTTTTGTTCCACATTGTTCTCCCACTCTATCTAGGATCTCTACCTAGATCCCCCTTTGAGTGGTTGACAGTGGTAGCCAGGCACCAACTAGTTCTTCTGCTCTTAGAGTCGTATAGGCTGAGGATCACATGGAGGCACACTCCTTTTATCACCTTTCCTGGTTACTCTTCCTCCTGCCTTATAAATGAAGTCCCTACCAAATTCTGCATTCGGGCCTCTTTGTGAGCTCTGTGATTCTGAAGCTCCCAGCCACTTGTACCATTGCAGCTTCCACCTTGTTGAGGCCATTTAGACCTCTCAAGGCTGTGTCGGGGACCTTGGTAATTCTTTTTGGGTATGTGCCAGCATTTTCAGAAGCTGAAATCATATTCGTGATTTAGACTTGAAAGACTAGAAGGGAAAATTTGTATCTAAGCACCTAGAAACAGGATTTAATATTACCAAGGGTGCATTGAAAGGGCATTCTTTTTTTTT